TGTTCTCAGAAATAGAATCACTCTGTCAAGGCAGATTGACACTCCCAAGGCTCTTCATGCCACAGCCAGTGTGCTGAGCACTGGTACCATTTCAGAGACATTGTCTTACCGACCCTTGTGGCGTTTGCGTATTCTGCTTTACTTCGTAGTTGCTCATGAAGAGCCTTATATTAAAGGAGGTCAAGGTGTTTCCTATGCTGGTTTGCATGTCTTTGTTTATATAGACAGTATACAATCAAAACAGAGATGAATAAACTGCATTTTTAAAGGTGTAGACGCGAATCGAGAACATATGTTTGAAAGATGCTAATATAAGAAGCACTGCTTATATCAGATTTATAAGGTATAGTCTCTCAAAAGACTAAAATGGTATAAAATGACAAAATAATGGTGGAAATTGAGAAATACTTAGGAAGAATGGATGGATTTTCTTTTTGTTAAGAAAAAAATCAGTGGAAAATATTTTAATTGAAAGGCTTTTAAAAAAAATATTTGTTCTTTATTGATTTTAGAGAGAGAGGAAGGGAGAGGGAGAGAGAGATAGGAACATGGAAGAGAGAGAATATCGATCGGCTGCCTCCTGCATGCCCTCCACTGGGGATTGGGCCCACAACCTGGTAATCAAACCGGCGACCTCCTGGTGCGTGGGTTGATGCTCAACCACTGAGCCACACCAGCCGGGCTTAATTTAATGTTTTAAAGTATGAAGGGAATAGTACCACTTAGATTCCTCTATGTTTGGCTTTAAATATTTTTGATACATGTCTTACACCACCAAAATGTTTTATCCTGCTGTGCACAGCAACCATTTTTTGTTAAGATATTTATGCATATCAATGACCATCTTTCAGTTATTACTATGAAATTCAGAGACTTTGTACTCCTCCATATTTAGTAGAGTTGAATTCTTCATTTATGTGTATGTTGGGGGAGGGGACAGGGAAGGACTAAGCTATTTGGAAGAAAAGTAATAAGCGTGGTCTTAAGAAGTGAGCAGTGAGAGTAAACCAGTGGATATACTTCTAGATCAAAAAGATTCAAAAAGTAATTATAGGAACTGCTCATCTATGTTAGGCTTAAAGAGAAAAATTTCTCACTAAAATTGGAATTGATTGACTAGAAGATGTTTGATTGTCTTACACAGTGTTACCCAGCCACGCTTCCTCTTAGTTCAGGTGCTTTCTAATAAGGACCAATGAGGAGTTAACCCTAAATCTGGACGGTTTGGTTGGGGATGCCAGTGCTGTTCACCACACGTGAACAATGAGTTTCCCAGCGGGCACCTGTTACGAATTGTGGCAAAAACCGTGTTTTACCTTAGAAAAAAAAAACTATTTTTTTTTCATCAAGAAGAAATATTAAAGTCCTTTTTTTCTCTGCTTTTTGTATAAAATGGTGCTAGACAGAAATCAAGCAATAATAACACTCATGGACTAAAATCCACTAGAAAAAAGAAATGCAGCTACCTGTGATGCATGACCATGGGATAAGAAGTAAACTCTAGTTATCATTAATTTAATAAAGACCATGACATTTTGCAGCCCGGAGGAGTTTTTCTTAGAGTTACATCCTGATATTGATACATTAAAAATAATTTCTTCCTTTTTTTTTTAAGTCCATAATATAATACTTTTGTTCCATTCCTTTTATGGCTAAGAAATAATATTGCTGGGATGTTAAATTAGTGATAAAAGGATTTTTAAAAGGTATAATCTAATGGTACGTTATCAGTCATTTTTAGTTTAATCACATGGAATACTGCAACTGTATATCATAGTTTTCATGAATTTTAACTGCAAATTATTCTTCAGCTTTTAGAGTCCTGGATCATTCTCTGTAAAATCAACCTGGAAAATCTTATTAGGGTTATTTATTCTTTTTACGCATACTTCAAATGGTTACTTCATAACCACTGAAAATATTTTTGGATAATCATGAAAGGGATTAATAATTTGGACTGTTAGGTTCTAATGTTTGAAAAAAATCAAACAAGATCATGGAAAAGCAGTTATGGAGAATGCACTTTGCATAATTTACATCAGAGTAAGAAATATCCTTGTTCTAAATATGATTTACATTATTGATTAGAACAAGCTCCCTTGCTCATGTAATGGGGAATTTTACCTAAATATGTCCTGCTATGAAAAACGAATGCACCAGCATTATAAATGCTAATGAAATTTCAAAAATAGTATTTGAATAGCTGAGGAATTTCCAAACTAGGAAAGCTAAGATTCTTATTTCCATCTCTCTTCCCAAAATACCCTCAAAATTTAAAAATTTTAATAGCATGATTATTTTGGGTCCACTTTATGCAAAATATAGATTTCATTTTTAAAGATCTTCCTAATATTATAAATTTGAACTTACGCTCCTACTAACCATCCTCTCTTTTGTTTGTTTTATAATTTTAAAATGTAAGACTGACTATCTTATTCGGTGACCCTTTGATCTTTCTCAATTGCATTGATTTATATGCAGTCGTACTAAATTTTTATCCATTCATACATTGATTCATTTATTTATTTAACCAAATGCCTCCCATATGCCAGGCACAGTTCTGGGCACTAAGAATTAAGTATAAAAAGAGGGTTTGGCCCTAGCCAAGTAGCTCAGTTGGTTAGAATGTGGTCCTGATACGCCAAGGTTGTTGGTTTGATCCCTGGTCAGGCATATACAGGAGTTTAGGTGGAACACGTCGATGTCACGTCCTTGCTCCCTTCCTCTCTCTCTAAGATCAATCAATAAAAATATGAAGAGAAAAAAAAAAAGAAAGCAGTAGGCATCTTCCAGTGCCTCTGAGAGAGTTATAAAAAGTAGGGGCATTTATCCACACAGAACTTGTATCCCAGCTGTGGTTAATGTGCTGAAATCACACCTGATATACTTTCCTTCTTCAAGAACTTATTTTCAAGCAAATTTACCTTGTGTTCGTGAATTCTCGTACCATTTTATTTCTATGTCTATATGTATAAAAGTTACAGCTGTTAGCAACAAATACAAGAAACATATTTATAAATTTAGCAGTGAACAAATCGTTCGATTTACTAGAGTTTATCAGACTACAGACGGGGATTTTAGGAGGGACTTCAGCAGCATTGGTGCAACCAGTATTTGCATTTAAGTCAATATCGTAGTTGCACTCGCTACTTAAAAACAAACAAACAAACAAACAAAAAAAAAACACACCAATATAACATCTAAGTATTGGTTTAAAATGTTGGGGCGCTTAAAAATGTCCAGGGAAACTGTTACCATTTACAGTGATCTTCAACTGTTCATGCTAATATTAGAAGACACTACAGTATAATAAGTGATGGAATTGGACTGTGACTTTGTGTCACCGAAATCTGATTAATTTCTCCCCTGTAAGTGGCCTCTTTGCCGTAAGCACAGCTTCCTTTGCCCCCTTAGTGTTCTGCTTTTAAAATGTCCCATTTGCTCTTCCAGGTTGTTTATTCTATTTGACTGCATTTGAATTTTGGTGGGAAACATTTATGTGGATCTTTAAGATGATGCAATGCAGGGTGTTTGTTTTTATTGTGAGGCATGCAGGCCCTGGCCCATGGTACACTGCATCCACGGAGAGAGACCAAATCATAGCTCCGCAGGGTTGTGAATAGACTAAGGCCTGTCGCTGAGCGGACAAGTCTGTAGACGTGGAGCCAAGATGATCACTGAGGGATGCTTTACGTATCCGTAAAGAAGGCAAAATATATTTGTTCCTCTCACATCAAAAGTTGTAAGGATTGGAAAAGATAGTGATATCGTTTTTGCAAATATTATCCCAAGTTCTAGAAGCACTAACTGATGTTATTCCAGTTTTCTGTTAGTGTCTCTTCACCGCTATTAATATAATGTATGTATATGTATTTAAGAGAAGGATGAGTCCTACTGATATTTGAATTGTACACTTAAATTAATCCATTGATTTCAAAGTGCTATTTACCCATTTTTGGATCTCTAAGGAAAGGATGACATCCCCTTAATCACTGGTCACCCGTGTTAAACAACAGACACTTGGATGTGGCTTCCCAATGACTGAATGCATAATGAACCCAGTAGGGACAAGAACCCACTGAGCTTGGGAAGTGATACATCAGCGGAGACAGAGACACTTTAATGAGAGTCAGAAACAGCAACTGCTTCGAAGCCCAGGACAGATGTTTGAGCACTTCCTCTGGGGATGAACCCATGCCCAAGTCATTCATTGAGTTCCGTGAGCGGCAGGGAGGAGCTGGGAAATTAACAAGGGAGCAGAGCCCTTTCCTGTAATAATGCAAAGTGATTAAGAGGACCTAAAAAAAAATCAATCGACTGATCAATAGTGTATAACTGCTTGGAGCATTTTCCCCTTGCTAATCAGTTATTAAGTTGTTTAAACAAAATATTTCCAGTTTCTCCAATTACTTAACTGATTTACAAGACTTGGTCAAGGGTGTCAGAGCCCTGGAGCCAGGTTCCAGGAGGTCACTGGAGAAAGGTGGCAATAATTTAGAAACGATCTTTTCTCGCTGCAGAATGAGACAGTTCTTAAAAGGGAGGATATGCTGGGGAAGGGGGATGGTTCTTTTCTAGTTTCTGGACCTTGGTGAATTACTGTGTTACTCCCAAGTTCTAAACATGTATATTTGTTCTAGAATATGGGCAGGAACTTGATTAAATTCAAGAGCAATGGAAGTCCAGATCACTATAAGAACATCTCTACACTGTCTATGTGCAGGCCTTTAAACTATTTTTTAAACTTCAGCCATAGTGATCAGCATGCAGCCAAAAGTCTCTGAATTCAAACCAACCAAAGGTATTCTAACACCTGGGAAGCACTCCATTATTACGTACCTGTATATTGCTGGCGATTCTAGTATCAAAACCATATGTATACTTTAAAAAAAAAAAAAAAAAGTTGAATGCCACTGTGGGGGGAAAAAAAAAAAACACTAAGAAATAACTTTAAACAGGGGGAAAACTTTTTTTATTGATATGTTTTACTTTGCTGGCAGACCAGAGCAAAGGTTTTGTGAACATTTAAAAGATGAAAAAGGTGAAGAATCCCAGAAGCGGTTTATCTTGAAGCGAGATAACTCTAGTATTGATAAAGAAGACAATCAGGTTGGTTCTCAAGTTTGAGAGTGGCTGACGTTGTTTTTGAAGGTGGGGGGGACGGATGTTCTTGTCATTTGCCTCCTTCTCCCTCCCCCTCCTCCCCCCTGCCTCTGGCACTGCCATCCTGTCTCCAGCCTCCTTGCCCGCCTGCCCCCCCTTTGGCATTCAGTGGGGAGCCCAAACCCCGTGTCCTGGTCGCTTTAGCAATGGCTCTGTGTTGGGCTGCACGGGTGGTGCTTGGCGCAGTCCTGCTGCATGTGTAGAGGGATGGGATGCTGCAGACTTGGAGCTGTTGGGAAAAGCTTTGTAGTCGCATTTCCAGATGTCTGTGTAACTATGGAAGTCGTTCCACTCCCTACAGCTCTGTCCTTCAGTTGTGCACACATTGAGCTGGATTATCAAAACGGACCGATGATCACCCGGTGTAGCTGTAAAGAACAAACCTTGTTATGGTGAGGACAGGTGGATTTATGCAACTATCCTACAATAAGTCTTCACAGCAAAGAATCAAGTTCATGTTTTAGTCTCTCAACCTTCCCTCCCACGTTCTGTTGTCTGTGTCAATCGTCTGCTTGGTTTGCATGAACTGGCGCACAACTCTGTCTCTCTGTGTATTTCGCTTGTGATGAAACACTGTGTTGTGTAGAGTAGCCCGACTCCTGGTACCTGGGTAAGGGGAGAGATGCTTGACCACATCTCTTCTCCAGGCGGGGGTGTGGGGTCAGGGCTCTCGGGAAGAAAACTAAGGACTTGGCAAAAAGAAAACCCGTGTTACATGAGACTGAGAAAAATGGAAAGTCATACGAATGCCATCACACTCTGTGACTCTGACAATCGAAAGAGATCTTTTTGAAAACGACTTTGCTTTAAAATTCTTAAGGGCAAGGTGATAAGCTTCTCGCCCAAGGTATTATTTTAATTACTCTCCTCGAGTCACCGTCAAGGCAGCCTGTGCATCTCCGATGCATTTGAAAAACAAACAAACAAAAAAACACCTGTCCATCATTTGTATCTCATTCCCTCCCACCACCAGCAGCAGCCTGAGCTCCGCCGGGCTCACGTGGACTCTGACACGCGTGCCTGCGTCGTGCACTTGGTGGGTGTCTGTTGAATGGATGGATGAGCGTGGTTGGGCAGAGCTTTTCCTGAAGAAGGGAAGGAGGAGATGGGAGGGTAGGTGAGAGGCAGGGCGTGGATCAGAGGGAAGGAGGAGGAAGGGCAGTCCTCATGCTGGGTTCTTTGAATTGTTCCCTCCGACGTCTTCCTATTGACCCCATCAACAAGCACACTTCACATTTAATCTCCATTTTCTGTGCCAGAGGCTATTGCGAGGATCAGTCATGGAGTGAATTAAAAAAAAAAAATCAGGACAGAGAGAAATAGCGGCCACATCTTCCTTTCCACCCCTTATTTCTCGACTCCCTCGCTGGGTTTCTCCAGAACACCCGAGGCCCATCCAGGTGCTACCATTCCAGAAACATCTGTGCTGCTTACACCCAGCCAGGAGGCAACCGGAGCAGCTCACATGCCCCGGCATTGCTTGTCATGCACACACACACATGCCCCCCACGCTTCCCCCCGGGACCGGTGGGAGTGAGACTTTTCATGCTCCATTTGTTTAAGTGAACATTTATTATTCTCAGCTGACAGTTGCTTAACCGCAGACGTCTAACAGCTCCACGTGGATAACCCTCCTGATTTCTTTTTTCTGTTCAGCAAAACAGAATGCATCCATTTAGAGATGACAGACGAAGTAAATCAATTGAAGAGAGAGAAGAGGACTATCAGAGAGTGAGGGACAGAATATTTGCGCACGATGTGAGTAGTTGTTTTCGTTGCTCTTGAGTGCGGTCCTTCCATCAGCAGTCAGGCAGACTTGTTCCCCAGACGGTGACCTGGCAGGGACGAAGGAAGCTGCAGCCAGGCAACAAATCAAACGGCAGCGAGCTGGAGGTGTTTCTGGAAGAGGCCCCGGTTCAGGGAAGTGCTGGAGAAGTAGCCAGGGGTTCGCGTGTGTTCCTAGAATGTGACCTGTGTGGGAACTGAGGTGTGATTTGGGGCAGTTCCATAGACCCTAAGTACAGCCAGGCTGGAAGAAATGCCCGCACACCCATATTGGCCAGGAAAGACCACAGTGTTGTTGTTTTTGCGTATTAACACTGTGCAGAGGAATTACAAGAAGAAGAGTGCTGATCACACGCACACCCCAATTTCCTGCATTCTTAGCAAATATGGGCCTTATCTCAAAATTAAATAATCATACTCATTTTCCTCCCAATTTCTGATCAAATTAGTTTTTGGAAACAATTTTCAAGGGAATAATGATAAAACAACTTCTTTTGCTCAAATCTCCACAAATAAGGTGTGGTAGGTTTTGTTTTTTGTTTTTTGTTTTATCCTTTTACCCACTCTGGTCAAAATAAAATGCAATTAAATTATGTAAAAATGAATAGGTGGGATAAAAGCTGGATTTAATTGCAAGAAAATGAAAAGGGCAAGCAGTTGCCCTGCTGTTCCATTCCGTGACACCACCCGGCAGCCACCTAAAAGGTCGGGTGCTCCCGTCTGCAGAAGTCGAGGCGTGAGCTCCTTCGAGTGGAGACTATGGCCTACACCTCCAGGTCTGCTGTCAGGTGGGGCCTCTGACCCCCGGCTGTCATTCGCTCCTGGAGGCTAGGGCAGAGCCAGCCCAGTGACCGAGGCTTCCACGCTTAGCGTTGCCCAGGTGTTACAGAGGGGCCAGATCCTTTAACAAGCAGCTGCAGAGGAAGCGACCCTGTGCACTTTTTTGACTTGCATACAGGCTTGTGACATCTGTTCCAGATCGTCTCTGCCTTTCTAGGCTGTATTAAAAGCAAAGTTTGATGATTGAGCGATCTGGCTCAGAACTCTGGAATTAGAGTGGGAGAGAGGGAGATGGAGGGCAGCCATAGCTGGATGGTGTGTGGGTACGATTCTAGAAGTCTGTGTAGGTGTGGACTGGATAGAGTTTCAGTATGGTCAGAGCTATTGATGGTGCAGCCTGACACATGGAGGGCCCTCAGCTGTGTTTGCTGGATACCAGAAGGAGGTAATGAGAGTGTCTGAGCTGGTCGTGGTGCAAAGATGCCTCCTGTGGACTGGACGTGGCATGTCTTGTCTGCTGGCCATCATGGAGAAAAACATTTCTGAAGGCCAGTTCATTTTTTATTCTCTCTCTCTTTCTCTCTCTCTCATGCACACATACACACACACACTCACACACTCACTCGCATGTATACATTTCCCCTCTTTATCTGGTTCTATTGAAAAGCAAATACTAATCACCCAGATCATGTACAAACAACATCAGGTTCTTTCTCCCCAGTGCCTGTGGGGGGAATGGCCCTCTGGCTGCCGTCCTTCATGGTGGCTTCCCATGTCTGGTGAGAGATCGTCACTGGGGGGAGGGACCAGCAAGACTTCCCAGCGTCCCTATGAAGGACATTCGTACTAAGGGACCTGGGTTCCAGGTTAAAGCCTGGAGTTAAGTGTTGCTGCCTAAAGCCTCTATGGCCACGCGCTGTATTAGCGTTTTTAAAAAGTAAAAGCAGACTTAATTGTGAGAGAGCTTCAAAGCCCAGCTATTGCCGTAGCCAGCCCATTCCGTGCCACTACTGGGCAGCCTTCTTCAAAGGGCATGAGTTCTCTCTGTGGGAGGAGAGGCGTGAGCTCCTTTCGTAGGCTCTCTGGGGGCCAACACGTCTGGCTTTACTGATTCAAGCTGGTTTCTGACATTACTGACCCCCTGGAGCAGGGGTTTTCCACTGCGTCCTTCACCCTGAGTATACTTCATGCTTCAGAGATAAAATACAATCCCAGATAGCATCTGCAAAATACTATGTTCATGAGCACATGTGCATTTTTCTAAGAAAAAGGTCTCCAGGGTTTATTTGGTCCTTATCACTTCTCATCATCCGTTAAAGGCTAAGGAAGGGTCACTGATCCAGAGGGAGGAAAACGACCCGGTGTCTTCCTCCCTACTCTGGTAGTTCTGTAGAGATGATGAAGTCATACCACTGGCATTCCCTGGTTCAGCTACTTATTGCTGCATTAAAAAAAAAAAAAAAAAAAATCCCCAAATTTGTCCGCTGAAAACAAAACACTGCTTCTTAGCTCTCAGTCCCCGGGGTTAGGGATCTGGGTGTGGCCGAGAGCGAGTCTGGCTCAGGATGTTTCGGGAGGTTCCAGGAAAGCCGTCGGCTGGGCTGCCATCACCTGGAGGCTCAGCGGCGTGGGTCTCTGCTTCCAGACTCACTCCCATACAGGGAGGCTTCCGGCCCTGCTGGTTACAGGCTGGAGAGCTCAGTTCTCACTGTGCGGACCTCTCCATAGGCTGTGGAGGGTCTTGAAGACATGGGAGCTAGCTTCCCCCAGTGCAAGGGATCCAACAGAGGACAGACCATCCGAAATGGAAGACAGTCTTCTATAACCTAATCCTGGACGTGACATGCCTTTCCTTCTGTTGGACACACATTCTGGCCCTGGTCCAATGTGAGAGGTATAGGACCCCAGGTAGTGAACACCAGGTGGGGGTCACTGGGGTCACCCTGTGTTAACAGGCTATTACTATGTCAGCCTCAAGGATATAACAGCAACGTGAACTTGCTTGAATACATACAGTGACAAATCTTCCTATCACTTATACAAAGACAGGACACTTCAGGGAACCTTCATCTGTACAATTCCAGGTTCCCAAAGGATCATTGCTGCTGCCCAGACTATTGAAGTCCACAAAATAATAATTAAACTCTGTGAAATCGATTATAAAACAAATGCAAAGAATCCAGCATAAGGAAACTAAGTTACAGACATCTAATCTTTTTCTTAGCTGGTCTTTAACTTAGTGTTTTGATAATTTAGAGGTAATAAAACTAGCTTTCCTTGCTAATTATTAAGTAGTGGAGTCAGGTTGAATTTTTTTTTTTTCCTACTTGATGTTGCAATAGAGATTTATAGAGCAATACTTCCTGGTATTTACACTTCAGCAGAATTCAAATTGATTTAAAAAGTTGATGTATTCTTGATAGTTTACAGATGAAATGGGCGGTGATGTCTGAGGTGTGTGTGTGTGCACGCATGTGTGTGTCGTGTGTTTTTGTATGTAGGTACATGATCAGAATATGCAGGTTGCTCTGGGATTTTCTAGAAAACAATTTTCAAATTTAGTTTGAGCGTTTCGTTATCTTGAGATGAGGCAAATTCATTTATTTATTGTTTGAGAACTAAATTGTTGTAAGTCAGAGCACACAACAGTTTAGTTCTGGAATAATAAATAAATGTATTTTGGTAGTCAGAAACGGTTGAAATATAACCTGTATTTCCTTGAGCTTGTTTTATGATTAATGCTATGTAACGTTGCCACTTTGGGAATGGTTAAGTTGATCAAGTCATATATTTGAAAAAGACATATTTTGCCTGAGAGCCATTTCTGAAGGATATTTATGTATACACAGGGACTCAGGGAGGAGCTCATCCTGGCTTTTTTTTGTTGTTTTTTTTTCCTCCATGTACTTGGATTCTTTCTCAGTGAGACTGATAAGGGCATAGGGTGCCACCTGGATTGGGGGTGGGACGTGGGAGAGAATTCTGCAACCCATTAGGCAAATCATTTTCTCCTTAAAAAAAAAAAAAAATGAGCCCTTTATATCTGAGAGCGCGTGACAGCTTTGAATGCTGCATGAATTTCGGAGACAATTTTATCTTTCTCTGCTATTAAAATGTGCAAGTTATTAATACTACTTATTTTTTAAAGTTTCTATTCATCAGCTACTGAATCACAGCCCATAACCATTTCTGGGTTATTTATGAAAATGTGGTGGAGGCATGATGCGATGATTTTTTAATGACCTTTCCACAGAAATAAAAAAAAATACTCTTGAGATGTTTTAAGGACAGTTGTCTTTGACTTGTAGGTGCTTTGTTTGTTTGTTTGTTTAATTAAAATAGTTCAGGCTGCTTAACTCTTCCCAAAACACCACTAGATGAACCAATCTGAAGAGGTCAGAATGTCTTGGATCACTCCTTCCAAGAGGTGGGAGAGTCTCAGTCATTCCGAAACCCAGCCAGAACATTATACATGTAACCGACCTCTTTCCATCGCCGAGAGCCAGCCGAGACGAAGTCAGGAACTGAATTCATAATGTCTCTCTGAGACAATCTCTCTTTCTTTCACTCACCATGACCTGACTCCAGCCAGTAGCAAAGCCAAACTAAAGCAAATAAAGACAGCCAGATATTTCAAGTATTAGAAACAGATCTTCGTAGGGATAATGTCAGCGGCACATCATTTGTATTGGTTTCCCTTTATGCAATTAAACGTCAAATTAAACAAACAAACAAACAGATATTTCCCGAAAAGGTTTTTTTCATAACTGACTAACGTTTTTGCTTTTTGTTAAATGAGGTTTGGGCACACTTGAGATTGAGGACCGTGGTCAATGCCAAGAGGGTAAAATGGGGACGCGGTTCTAGAGGTGCCCTCACTGGATCGCTCAGGCGGGAAATGTCACGCCCAAATCTAGCCCTTCGGTTCAGTGAAAGGAAATGATTTCTCCAGTAAAAAAAAAAAAAGTAACGAGAAACCAATACCCTGTTTGCCTCACTGAACAATGGTTATATTAACAGCATCTTTGAATTAAAAATTTTGATATTAGAAGGTCATCATTATTTTTTCAGTTTTATTTTATCTTGAAATGGACCTGTTAAGTCCCTGTTTATTCCTTTAGCAGGTCACTTATTCATTATTTAGCAAATCTACACTATAATAGGGGGTACATGTTTATGTTTAGAAACTCAATACTTTGAAAGCGGTTTTATGTTAATGCCTAAACACAGCCACTATATTATAGGACTTGCAACGTATTTTTTTTGGACTTCTCTTTTTCTGTTGCTAAAATTTAATTTGACCTGCCCTTGCCCCGCACGTAATGACGTGGGAATTTTATCTTCCCTACATTGTGTCTAAACACACAAAAGTAGAGAGATGAGTACTAGGGACATGGAAGCTAAGAAGAAAGTCATTTGGTCTGAAAAACAAAGAAATCTTACATAGAGCATGACATTTTTTTTAATTAGCTTCATTTCATTTTCACTTGGCCCATGCCCTCCCCTCACCTCCTTAAGATCGATTGATGGCATCTTTTCAGTTTTGAGAGTTTCGCCGTCAATCTGTTTATTTTATGAGAGTTTATCACTGGCGGGTAGTAACCGCAGGACTGTGGCTGTGCATCTGCCCACCCTCTTGTGGATCATGCTCACGCTCTGCCTCTCTGAACCTGTCGTCTGGGCTCTGGTTGGTGGCTGCCTCTCCGCAGCCCCAGAGGACACCACTAGCTCAGGATCTGAGGGTTACACGTTTCTCCAGCTATTCAACTCACCTCTCTCTTCTTCCGACCTTGATTGACCTTGATGCTGAACGGGCTAAATCTATTTGAAACCTGGAGGTGCTCTGATGGAAAAGTACTGTGTGCTGCATGAGAATCCTTTCACTCTAACCTACTTTTTTTTTTTCCTTTTTGATTTCCATTTTTCCTTAAAATGGTACATATTTTTCTTAAATGTTTTTCCCTTGGAGGGGAAAAGTGATGTTAAAATCAGGCAAGGACTTGGGACCCCTCAGCATATCCAGAACGTCTGATACAATGCCTTTTTTTATTTTTCAGTCAGCTTGCTCCCAGGAAAGCCTTTTTGTGGAAAACAGGTAAAATGAAATTTGCTTTTTCATGTCTTTAGAAGAACAAAGTGTGTCGTGTGTGTCCTGTATATTCATAGATACATATATATTCCATATATAAGTGCGTGCTTGAATATATGTATAAGTAAATACATATATCTATGTGTACACACCTATATATTCACACATATATGTTATTTAGAGTGTCTAAACATTATTTAATTGAGGGAAAAACTTCTCTCAGTTACTTCCAATCATGAGCTTAAATGTTTCCCTTGTTTAAAGTCTCAGTTTATGATTCTTTCAACATTTGTAATTATAATTATTTTCACCAGGCACTAAAAAGTATAAGAGTTGAGACCCCCATAAGAACTTGCAGTTTCATTGGCTTATTGAATAGGCTGCTAAAAGTACTTGTATGTCTTTTATTATTAACTATTTCCTGTGCCCTGTAATTATATATAGCTATACAAATAACAATTAGAATAACATTGTTCTAAGTTTCTCATTCTAAATAATCTACCAGTCTTTCTAGAAGGCCTAACATGGAAACCTTATCTAAAGGTGTCTGGATTTAACAGCTCACCTGGTTTAGGAGTGAGGAGGAGGAGGTGATTGCTCTGAAATGCACGGCTTATACAATTTATACAAAGTCTTGAGCATAAAAGCAGAAATTTTTCAAATTTAACGTATACCTTTTTAAAATAGTTCTAAACTGACATAGCTATTAAAATGCTCCATTGATTTAATTGCAGATTTTTAAGGGGAATTAAGAAATTCCACATTTGCTGTACTAATGGGTAACTTGGAATGGAAATATGGTATTCATTTTAAAGTGGTGGTTAATTTTCTTTCAGGTGTCAGCCTAATGGGTGGTCCCTATAAAACTGATTAAAATGCAGGCTGTTGGATTAAATTCCAGTACTTAGAAAGTTTGAACTGGGCATTAGAAATGATTGGTGGGTGAAAAAAAATGCCATCATTCATATTAGCAATTAGAAATCCTCAAGTAACGAAGTCCCTCAACTGAACAGAAGAGATGAAATTAGAAAATATGTCTACAAGAGGCATTCAAAAACAACCTTAAAAATGCCTGCAGATCCAGACTGGTAGTCCTTATTTACAGTAAAGAATCCACGAGCATTAACATCTTAGGGATGATTCTGAACCATTCCAAAATGTCGTATCTTTACCAGAAGGATTAGGTGAGCACTTATAATTTAGTTTAGTGGGAAATCTTATTCCCTAGTCTTCTAGCCAATCATTTCTCTCTACTTTACTCTCTAACTTTATTCACTAACTTGGGTCTTATACAAAAAGACTGCTATATACTTGTGTCCCTTATATTCAAATTATATTGTATTCATCAATACAATAATTGGTCACATATGTCCATTGCATATTCGCACAAGTCTTGATGTTTCCATAAAGCAAAAAGTTAATTAAGTGAATTCCTTACAAAAAAAAAAATATATATATATATATATATATATATATATATATGTTTCTTGGATACCTGCCTTTGGAATGTCAACATTTCACTATGCTCAGCAAATAAAGAACTTTAATATTACTCAAAGAAAAATAATCACAGCTAATATATTTAATTAAATATCTATTATATCTACATCAATTGCTTTTCTTCTCCTCTCCTCTCCCATTCCCTCTACTTCCTCATCTCTTCCTTCTCCCTTACCCAGCATCAGTGTTTGAATGTCAGGGTAGGGAGAAATCATGCTGCCATTAATTTACTATGGCAAAGTTCAATGTCATACAAACAAATCAGTACGGGGGTTGATTTGCAAGACAGGTGTGTTATAGTAGCATGCACACCCATTTATTACCCTTAGGTTTTATATCATAAAAATCATGTTTTTCATTTCCAGTAGGCTCTTGGAAGACAGTAACATATGCAATGAGACCTATAAGAAAAGACAGCTCTTTCGGTTGGTATGGCTTACTTTCTTAAAACTGTGTTTTCAGACTATGTGGCAGAATCGATGTTAAATATAAGTGGATTAGTATAAAATATCTCTGTTCATGAAATCAAATATGTTCAGTTATCTCTTTGTAACGCTTGTCCAGTGCTAGTGTGGAAGCCGTATTGGATGATGTGAGACACAGGATGGGGCGGCCATTACTTTGAATTCAATCCTTTAGGGTTCTTCCTCGGATTTTTCTGTGTTTTTATTTTTATTTGTTTATTTTTATTTTTTCTGAAGGGCTAACTTTGGAAGCACACTGGTTTAACATTCCCAAATCAACTTTGGTGAATTACAGAGTTCAAGTTTCTCTGACAGGCTGCAATTGTGTATACATTCTCAACACTGGAAACAAATCAATGATAACTCTATTTGAGCACTTGATTTTTAGCTACTACTATCCATCATACTATTTCAAACAGTATTTTTTTTTCAAGCACAGATTTTATTTCTAATGAAAAATACAAGATTGCTTCCAATTATAATGAACTATTTAAATCAAGATCTTTGTGGGATATATATGGATAATGAATGATATGTGTATATTTATATATTTATAATGATCTATAATCTATAATATTAAGCCATATGATACAATTATTAAAATTTAGTAGCTATAATATAACTATGTTATATATTTTTAAGTAAACTAGGCTAGAAGCTCCATGAAAGTAGAGGGATCATACGCATTTTCTCACTGCTCTATTAAATGTGTCTCCAGCATTCATGATGAAACAAAGGATACATACACGGCCCTCTTTATATACTCAACACATAACACATATATTAATACATTAGTTCTGTTGTGGATATTAGAATTCATCTCTGTTGTAGGGCAGGCAAAACAAACAAACAAATAAAACTCTTGCCCATTTACTGGAAAATAAATAAATAAATGGATCGTGGGCTTAGAAAGTATCTTTCGCAATAAATCTGAACTTAGGACATCATCATTAGAAAACAGTACCTTTTTCCCTTTGCACTTTGGCGGAAACAAAAAACAGGCTTTTTTTTTTTTTTAGCTTCCTTCATATTTCTAGGTTGAGCAACATAGTCTAATGCCTTCCACTTGTATCATTAGATACCTTTTACCCTGGAAGATGAAGGAAATAAACTTGCATTTTCCCCTTGAAAGCCCAAAGTAGGACTAGAATGTACCGGGAGTCCTACACTCACACACCATGACCTGGTTTGCTTAGCCAATACTAGAGAGAAAATGCGGGCTCTTGCCCCTCATTGGCCAGTTAGTTTGACATAGCCCCAAATCTGGTCCCTAGCCAGGGCTACCCAGGTGGGCCATTCTAAATGTGGACACCATTGCCCACCCAAATCACCATGTACAGAGGCTCCGGAAGATGACTGAACATAAAGCCATCCACATAATGGTAAAAATAATTCAAAATGTACATCATACCTTTAAAAAAAAAAAAAAAAAAGGTTCTGTTCATGCAAAAAGGAAAATAAATGTCATCAGTTATGTTCATCAACACAGAAATAGAACTTAGAGTATGTCCTTTATCACTACTCTAGGATCAAATTCTAGTTATGCACAAGAGGGCTCAGCTCCTCCTGGTGACCAGACAACTCATCACCATTGTCTTCCTGGTTTCCAGTAGCGGGGTCTGGACTTAGGAGGGAAGGGAAGGCACTGGAGCTTACGTTTTTTGTTTGTTGGTTTGTTTATGATGCTTATGATGACAAACCCAAATAGATTTGAAATCCACTTCTGGACCTCTCCTTGCCATAATCAATAGATAGAGCATTATAAAATATGATTTCAATGTGCAAATATCTAGAGATCATAAAGTAGAATTAGATGTATTATTTTGAATTTCATTAATGCGAAATCTCTAAAGCAGCAACTTAAATTCCCTCTTTTAACATGCACAGATTTTGACTTAGGATGGTGATTTGAGCTGGCCCGGGGAAGTACAAGTAGTTAAGGAAATCAGGTTGCCTTTTTGGCCAGGGAATGTGGCACAATTCTAGAGGAACTACCCAATGTTCTAAAAATAGCTCTGCCAGAGTGAAGAGTGCAAACCACGGCACCTAGCTTGCACCCAGGAATACCGGTGAGCACCTCCTTGGCAGAGGTAGGCACAGCCACACCCTGGCATTGAGAGGAAGTCTGGGTCCTCCCAGGGAGGCACAGAGTTCATGGGGAGTGGGCTCATTGAAGCAGAATTAGTTATGATCACCCCCACATGGAGAGCTGCGTTCTGACGCATCCTGTATGCTGAGGTAAGAATCAACTCCAATATTTTCCTATAACAAACATTCTAAATCAGCAACACCTGAGATTATTGTCATGTCCTTTGTCCATTCACAGTTGCTAAATCTTTAGACAGGCTTTATCAAAGGTGGGTCAAGTGAATCAGAATTAAATGGGAAAAGAATGAAGTTGAATTTGAAAATTGAAGGGGAGACCATCAGGAATGGAGAAACTGTTCACCTTTCTAGCAGAAGAGGGTACTTTTTCTCCAGACTACCTCCTCTGGATTTCCTAAATTTGCAAAGGAGTTTTAGAACTCGAGTGGCCTGGCCACTGGTGAATGTTTGATACTTCCACTTGCAACGCTGTCTTTTTTTAGATGATCCTTGTTTCTAAAACCAGTCATCCTGAGAGCAGAGAGAATGTGTGTAAGAAAACACTGACAAAGGACAGCAGGGCCTGAGTGCTTTTTGTTTTGTGAGTTTTCTATTCCACTTCCTTCCCTCACTTTCCGGAGTTCTTATCACAGATTAGCTGTGTCATTTTTATTATCTTTGGGTCCATTTACCTCCTTCCATTTTCATGAAATAAAAGAAAACATTTACTAAGTAAAGTTGAAGTAAAACCAACAATTTTCTGTGTACCTTCTGTACAATTTGGTCGGTACATGCCTCAATCAGATTTGCATACTTCTGGCATCTCAACAGTTCAGTATTATCTTTAGAAGAATATTTATTGATCCCATCTGTGAGATCGGAATCAAGATCGAGTATGTCACATCACATAGTGATATGAAAGTAGAGGTTATATCTACTGCCTGTGATTTGTGTCCCCTGTACTTGTTCATAATCCATGAGAATCTACGAATCTTTTATGATCCATTCTTTCCAGCTGCAGAAAAAGCTTTGAACATGTTAACTAAGTTACTCTTTAAGCAGATTGGAAACCAATGAAAATGCAAATTTCATCCACTTTCTCTTGAAAAGACATGCAATTTTGTACACTGCTTGGAGATTCTCTGGAGTCTTCAAAATTCACTTCTGGCTACTGGCCCTCTCCCAATACATTCCCTCTTTTTCTATTTTAATTTTGAACAACTGTGTTATTTCACCTATGGAGCTTTGTTCATTTGTTTATTTCCATTGATCTCTTTGGAATGTTTTGTGTCAGTGTAGTGTTTACACTGTTGTTCTGACCACAAACTTTTCCATGTGAAAAGGCTCTTTCCTCTGCCCGCGAGGGTTAAACTCAGGGCACAATTCTCACCATAGGTCAACAGAATAATCACTGTGATTCTGTGCTGTCACTGCCTTCGTGAATTCAGTTATAGATCTCACAAAGTTAGAAAATAAATTAATAAATGGCTTTTCTGGAACTGCGTGCATTTTCCCGGAGTCCAGTTACCGAATGCGGAAGGGAGAGACAAAATGCTGCTTCTTCAGTGCGAGTCGCTTTGAGCATCATTCCAGATCACGGGTGTTTCTAAGCGTTGATTCATTATTGACTTCAGTCAGGAGAATGTATCCTCCCTCGTCTCCACTATAGCAGTTTCCAGTGGTAGTTTCTACCATGTTTGTCTGGTTGTTTCTCCTTCACCGGCAGAGGGATCGTGGGACATCGCTAGGCTTGTTTTTCCTGTTTGTAACATGTGTGCAATGTGTTACCTGTCTGCCCATCACTGAGGTACTCGCGGCTCTGCTTGTGAGGCAGCAGGTCTAATGATAAGGAGGGTGTTGACTAGACAACTCTTCCAAGAAAGGCGCCACTCTATGTCCACGACTGTTTATGGAATGTAACGCTGTCCCTGTGCATTTCTTTGGTGGCCGTCTCCAGGGGCAACAGAGATGGCTCAGGGAGAACGTCCGGGAGTCGGCAGAGCAGCTCGGAGAATGAACTCAAGTGGTCCGACCACCACAGGGCCTGGAGCAGCACCGACTCGGACAGCTCCAACCGCAATCTCAAGCCCGCCATGACCAAGACGGCGAGTTTTGGGGGCATCACGGTGCTGACCAGGGGCGACAGTACTTCCAGTAGCAGGAGCGCCGGGAAGCTGTCCAAAACAGGTAGTTAGTACTGCAGGGGTTTAAGTCCTATGCTATTTTCCGAAGTCTCCCCAAGCTGTACAGTCACCATTCCCTCTGACTTTGAGTTAACTGGTGATGATGCTGTTACTTATGGGAACAGACTGAGGTCAGAAGTGCAGCTTCTATACCAATACTGCCTCCTGCTAGCTCTGTGCCTAAGTCCAATTATTAACCTCTCCAATCTCTAGTTTCATTACCTATAAAATGTAGGTTATAATAGAATATTACTCTAACCCCCCAGTAGACTATTTTAAGTTTAATTGCAATCATTTCTATAAAAATAGTTACCAAGGCACATGCATGGAGCAATTCTTTTACAAAGGTTAGCTTTTTAAAAATTTAATACTATGAGTTATTCCTTAAAACCACATTGTAAGATAATTATGATGTGAGTGATTTCCATTTCTGCTTTGGCATATTGGTGTATGATCCTGGGCAGGTTAGTTAACCTATCTGTGGCTCAGGTTTCTCATCTGAGAAATGGGAATGATAACAGCACCAATATTTCAAAGTTATTGTTAAACCAAGAGTTAATATACTCAAAGCAATACCTGGCACGTTGTTAACCCTCCGTAAACACCAGTTCTTGTTCATTTTTATTATTGCCACTTAAAGTTGTCCATCCTTGCTTTGCAGATAAGGAGAGGGAACCTCAAAAGGCTTCGCATTTCCAAGGAGCCAAGTTCATGCATTTGCTTTTTCCTGCTTTTTTCTATCAGGGGTGGGGAACCTTTTTCCTGCCAAGGGCCATTTGTATATTTGTAACATTCGAGGGCCATACAAAATTATCAACTTAAAAATTAGCCTGCTGTATTTGGTCAGGCTAATTTGGTGAGGCATGTGATGTTAGCTGGTATTGACTTTGAGGGCCTTATACAGCCCACGGGCTGGATGTTCCCCACCCCTGTAGAGGGAATAGTGATCTTTTGAGTTTGGTAGTTCAAGTTTGCACAGACAGTCTTTGGGAATTCATGGTGATGAGAGATCTAGAACCATTAACTTGAAACAACTCGAAACTGAGAGAGCATCAACACCATGGGGTTCATACGAGTCTAAACAATACCCCACATGATCTTCTATTATCTCTTCTGTCTCCCCAGAATTTCACCATTGTTTCCCAGTTACTTTTAAATATTAACAATGAAAATACCTCATAAAACCCCAGCAAGATAACAGATGACCCTTCCGTAGTACACCATGAACTTAAGTTTTTATGCATTCATTATTTGTATTATTTTTAATTGAAATCATGGGGGTGGCATGGGTTAATAAAGTATGTAGGTTGCAGGCGTACAGTTCTGTAATACCTCATCTGTGTACTGTGTTATGTGTTCACCTCCCAGGTCTCCTCCCACCACCACTTCAGTTTAGTACGTGCTGTCATTGTTTTTGTTTGGCTTGGGTCTTGCTTCAGAAGTTCGGAGGCCCTGACTCTCAGCTAGAGTGGGGTGAGGGTGGTGATTCTGCGATGGGCCCTGGGTGGCAGAGTACACTGGCAGTGCATTATGGGCCCTGGGTGTCAGAGTACACTGGCAGTGCATTATGGGCCCTGGGTGTCAGAGTACACTGGCAGTGCATTATGGGCCCTGGGTGTCAGAGTACACTGGCAGTGCATTATGGGCCCTGGGTGTCAGAGTACACTGGCAGTGCATTATGGGCCCTGGGTGTCAGAGTACACTGGCAGTGCATTATGGGCCCTGGGTGGCAGAGTACACTGGCAGTGCATTATGGGCCCTGGGTGGCAGAGTACACTGGCAGTGCATTATGGGCCCTGGGTGTCAGAGTACACTGGCAGTGCATTATGGGCCCTGGGTGTCAGAGTACACTGGCAGTGCATTATGGGCCCTGGGTGTCAGAGTACACTGGCAGTGCATTATGGGCCCTGGGTGTCAGAGTACACTGGCAGTGCATTATGGACCCTGGGTGTCAGAGTACACTGGCAGTGCATTATGGGCCCTGGGTGTCAGAGTACACTGGCAGTGCATTATGGGCCCTGGGTGTCAGAGTACACTGGCAGTGCATTATGGGCCCTGGGTGTCAGAGTACACTGGCAGTGCATTATGGGCCCTGGGTGGCAGAGTACACTGGCAGTGCATTATGGGCCCTGGGTGGCAGAGTACACTGGCAGTGCATTATGGGCCCTGGGTGGCAGAGTACACTGGCAGTGCATTATGGGCCCTGGGTGTCAGAGTACACTGGCAGTGCATTATGGGCCCTGGGTGTCAGAGTACACTGGCAGTGCATTCGTGGCCTGGGCACAGGTGAGCGGGAGGCCAGGGCCAGGAGGGAATGGTGAGTGGACATGGCTGCCCTAGACTGAATCCATTCCCATCTAAGCAGCACCCTCACGCTAGGGCAGATTCTGTGAAATCTAGGCTCATTATGCTAATGGCTTAACATAATTATGTTGTTGACAAATGCCTCCTGAGAAATTATCTCATGTTTTCCTACATAGGCAGAAAATTAATAGCATGTCGTCTCAGTCACTACTTTCTATGTACGTATCTTCCTTCTTGGAAAGATTCGGGCGGGCTGTCATGCTGCCTTCTGTCATTTTAAGTCACCGATTGGAGAATTCTTGATTTCTAATTAATTACTCTTAGATCCCACTATTGCAGCAACTGAAGTCAAGAAAATCCACTGTGGTGCACTTCAGCTCGTGTACACTAAGAAAGTTCAATAGTTTTAAATCTCCTTAAAAGGCAGAAACCAAGTACCTTCAACGGCGCACTTGAAAATTCCAGTACACCAAGAGAGCTCTTAGGATATTTAAATTAATCATCATTCTCCGCGCGCCAGCCCCCATCACTTCCAAAGCAAAGCTTTTTGGAAACATTTAAAACACCTTAAGAATGCTGAAATGCCATGTTCTTTGAAGAGTGGTTAGAAATTGTTAAGTGCTTCAGACTTTATATTTTTAAATAGTTCTGCTGATATTTAATTATGTATTATTTGAAGCCCTGCATGCAGAGGACTACATTTATTTTATCATTTTTTAAATGAATTCATTTTTATTATGCATGTTTCTCCTTTTCCCCCATTGACATCCTCCTCCCAATCCTGCCCACCCCCACCCCCAGCACAGATTCATTATTTTCTTAATCTAAGTGTCTCTATTTGAACCTCTGGCTTGCCAAGGTGCAGGAATGGAAAGTAAATAATCCTAATCCTAATCCTAATAGAGAAGATCAAGATAGGAAGTCTAAACAAGCTCACAGTTCCCCAAGACGGTCTTCAGGAAGCAAAGCTCTCAGGTTTGCTGGTGAAACTTCAAATCAGCACAAGTTTGGCAGCTTTGGACCTCCACGTGCACAGTGGCCCGGCAGACTTCTTCTTTCCTCCTTTCAGAAACCAAGTCTGGAGTGGTGACATTTAAGTTACTCTAATTACATAGACTAGAGCTTTATATAGATAATAATGAGACTTTTTGCACGTGGGAAGCAGGTTTTCCTACATTTTGGAAAAAGCATATAACTGAAGTCTGAACAGACCAGCACGTCCTCTGGGGTCTGGGCTGCCGTTCCCCTATTGCATCCACCACACGGAGCACATGGTCACGTAACGGATGCCTGGCACACATCCATGGGCTAGATGACGTCGTTATGTCATTACATCCTCCTTGCGATAAGAATTTGAACGGTGCTGGCGCTGCAGCCTCACCGGTTTCTTGGTAGTGGCGATGGGGTTGAAAATATGAGTGTGACACCTGTTTCTTTCGGCTCTGGCCAAACTCCAATGCTTCTCTGTCATCCCTCCCTCTTGACCTCCACATTAAGGATTCTCATCTTTAGCTGCATCAGCATCCCATGAAGGATTTCTTCAAGCCCAAATGGCTTGTTCAGAAACCATGCTTGGAGAGCGGCCGATGCAGAGAAATAAGATCGCTTCCTTTTTTGTTTTAACAGTTTTACACGGCCTGGTATTTTGTTTTCTGGGTGCAAGGCTGTTCTTGTTGTCACTTGCCTTGTCTATGCCCTAGAGTATTTTGGAAGCCAATTCAAGATGCCTCATCTCGCAGCCACGTCCTCTCCTGCATGTTTATTTCCATCCCTGCACGAAGGCACCCCGGGTATTTCCTTCTGCCTTGTCATTTAGGAGGCTTTCGGTCATTCTGCTGAACGCTGACCCCTGGATCTGGAAACATTTTCTTGAATTCAGAAAAAGAATACTTATGTTTCAGGGTCCTTAACAAAAGAAGAATGCACCAGATGAGTGAAACAGGCAACAGAAATTTTATTGAGAGCTACTGCAATAGGAGTCGAGACTGTTACGATAGGGAGGGAGATGAAACTCAACCCTGCTGAAGCAAAAGGCAGGGGCGTGTGAGTGAGCTGGTGGAAATGCTGGAGGACTTTAGGCAGGTGGTTGGTCAATTTGATTAAGCCATCTGTGTTTGCTAGTCAGTATTTATCAAAGTCAGGCTCTTACCCTCCCACACAACTGAGAGACAAGGGCACTGTTTTGCTTGTTGACTGTATTTCAAAGGCATGGCCCCCGAGACCTCACTAGCTCATACCTCAAATCAGAGTTAGGACATGTCTCATTGGCGTCAACTCTTGCTCACTGTCCAACCCCTCAGCCCAGACATGGACATAATCATTTTTGTATGACCTTAGATGTCGGGGGTCAGACAGTTTGATTGTACTATGACCGTTGTTGAGTCTGTACTCGTGTCAAATGTGGACTGTAACATCACATCATACATAGCAAATCCGCAAGCACATTCTTCAGTTTGCACTGGGGCTGTGACTCCAGGGTCATAGTATCACTGATGTGGTTGCAGAATTACTCCTAGTATTTTCAAAATTCCTTTCAGATCCTTTGTTTTTTCTCTCCATATGTTATTCAGAACCCTATTGGTATTTTAAACCGGTTCGATGGAGCAATCCCGAATTAACCTAAAACTTTATCATTATTAATAATAATGTCATGGAAAAAGAGAAAATCTCCCACTGAGGACACTGTGGCAATCCCTGGTATATTCACATGCATGCTTTCAGGAGGCAGCTGGGTCATGGTTAAATCTAGATGAGTCTGCCAAGATCAAATCTTAGCTCTGTCATTTTCTAGCTATGTGATCAACTTGAGTCATCTAACTTCTCTATAATTCAATTTCCCCATTCAGATAGGCAGCAACAGTACTTATATTAGTGTTTATCCAGGTGCTCACACACACTAACAGCTCTATAAATACCACTTCTCACAAATTATCACTCTCCACTGACCCCTCTTTCTTGCAACTTCTTGTTGTATTCCTAGCATTTATTTTAAAAGATTTCCATTTGAACTTAAGGGTACGTTTTAGAGTCTTGAAAACAATGTTAACTATTTTGTATCTATGTTAATGTTTAATGCCACATAAGGATGCATTTTTATAAGTAGTTATGGGCTAATAATTTTAAAAATGTATTGTCCTACATTCTTGCAACCTGTGATATCATGCAAATCATGTATTAGTTTAAATTCACAGAAATACAAATTTTGCTTGGTGCATTTTCTGTCCAATGCTCTGGTTAACAGTCAATGCCCCAGAAGAGCCATGGTCAAGGTCTCTGCAGCTGCTTGACTCTGGTTACAGTTGAGGGCAACTAGTGCCTAATGGGCATGGGACGCAGCAGGTGTTTGTCCCCAGAGGAGAGAGAGGGAGATGATTACAGCCAGATTCCACATTGGGAGCTTCCCCATGCTGATGCAGTTACCTACATGTTTGAGAAATCCAGTCCACAAACATTCCCAATGACTTTATTCTTCTGTGTCATCTGAAGGATGCTCCATTAATGTCATGAAGACCAAACCCTCCTTGGTCCACCTGTTGGCTATATTAATAAGACTTCTGCAAATGTGTGAAATATGGTACAGGGCTTAGGCACTTCCAATGGGAAGGATTCACTTCTCACATCTGGGGTAAAAGATTATTTCTAACTATGTGCCTTCAAAATGCAGCTTGATGGATGTTAAAGAACCAGTGTTTTAGAACCATCTGCAGATCAGTACATCATAGGACTCCTCCTTAAACTGCAGTCTCTTGAACCTCTAACCAGTCATTGTATTCTCATAACTCCAGCTCAGTAAGACATGTCCATGCCATTAATTACTCAGGGTGATAGGCGTTCTCAGGTACTGAGTTCAGAGCTTTACCAATTAATCACCCTAGTGACATGAGAAGGCTAAAAGAGAGTGTTCATTCCTAATCTCTCGCTTTTTTAGAAAACGGACACATCAGAAAAATATGTAGCATATATTTCAATAAAATGTGAGCCCACAAATGTGGGAGAGGCATTCATTATTCTCTCCCCGTAGCTCTCACCTCAAACTCTTTAATGATGGGTGATCTAAAGTAGCGTGTAGACCCAGAGCTGTGGTTTCTGCCCTCCTCCCTGTGCTGAATGGTGTGTTGGTTTGTATCTCTGCGGTAGGTTCGGAGTCCTCCAGCAGCGCAGGCTCCTCAGGATCGCTGTCCCGCACCCATCCGCCTCTCCAGAGCACACCCCTGGTCTCCGGCGTGGCGGCCACTTCTCCTGGCTGTGTGCCCTATCCGGAGAATGGAATGGGAGGCCAGGTTGGTCCCAGCAGCACCAGCTACATCCTCCTCCCACTGGAAGCTGCCACCGGCATCCCGCCTGGAAGCATCCTTCTTAATCCACACACAGGTGAGTGTATTTCCTCTGCTTCGGCAAGGACTCAAGGACTGGAGACCAGAAGTTTGTTCTTGTGTTCGGTCTTATGTTTTTACTAGCGAGTGTTTTGAAAATTCTTTATCAAGAGAGCGTGGTGCATGAACGGCTGTGGAGGGTCTTGGTTTAGGAAGAGCACATCTACTGCTATAACCTACATCTCCGTATTGATATCAGTATTCATATAGGTTTATAGATCCAGGTACTTCCCAGAAATGCCCACTTTTCTCTATGCCCTTTCTTCACGGACCACAGGATTTCTCATATCTTCCCAGGAACTAAGATCAGAGATCAATGACTGATGAACTGGGATATACTCATTGAAACATGGTGTTTCTCAGAATAAATCCATGCATAGCCTATTATGATGATAAAAGTCTTGTTTCATCCAATATATTTCAGGAACTTGAGATATTAATTGGGACACATAATAGATTCTTCACTCTGGAGGATGCTCCCTGACCTTGCAACTTCATCCACTGGAGAATAAGGAATACCACTGGTGAAGAGGACACAGAGAGCAAATTCTATGTCTTAGAGATTTTAGGCCTCGACTGGTTTGGGTGGGGGTTGGAAAATTGGTGACTTCATGACTGTGTTTTCTTCAAAGGTGAATGGCTATTGGTTCTTAATGTTTAAATTTCTCTAGTGTTCAGTTAACTTCCACACTGGTTCCAAAGGACCCAGAGCATTGAGCCAGTAGACTGATGAACATCTGCTTCATGGGGGAAACTCCCCCAGCTGGGCACTCTTGCCCATGCCTCCAAGGCCATTTGGCAATATCTGCAGACATTTTGATAATCATAACCTAGGGAGGAAGATCTGCTACTGGCCTCCAAGAGGGTCGAAACCAGAGGGGCTACTAAATATCCTGTAGGGCACAGGTCAACTCCTTACAACAGAAGGTAAGCCAGCCCAAAACATCAGCAAAGCAGTGGTTGAGCAACCCTGGGTGGGAAGGTTTGGCATTGATCAGTCACTTCCTTATCGGCCTTTACAGTGATTGAATCATCCCAAAATATATCTGAGCTTCGGTTTAGGTTACTGCGGAGTATTTCTTTGATTAGCTAAACTTGAAAATGCAAAACCAGCTGTGAATCTCATAAAAATGATCTGACTCCATCTTCTCACATCTATAGTGCTACTGGTAATTAGGACATTCAGAGAAACAGGAGAATGATAGTAAAATAGCTGCTTGAATAATTGCCACATTTTCGTGAAAACATATGGCACGTCTCAAGGCGTAGCATTTGACTGAGACATTTTGAAAATGCCATCCGTTTCAGGGAAGAGAAGGCATAATCATTTTATTGAAAACCATCTGAAAGCTTTCTGATTAAGATACTTCTAAGGAGAATATTAGATTGCTTTTATTTTATCTGGAGCACTGTAAGCACTCTAAAAGAAATTAAAGAAAACCAGGATCATATTCATCACTCTGGGCTCTGATCAAAGTACGATCTGACTCTGTTGGCTTAAATTCTTTCATTTTTAATTGAGATGGAGGGCTTGCAGACAAGCACACAAAACTAAGCATCCGTTTTGAGTGGTTCGGTTTCAGCAAAATTGCAGAGCATTTCAAAAAGCACAACAGTGTTTTTAGGGTATAATGCAAGAATATTATTTGTAATGATAGTGTGGCTGTGCATGAGTATGTGTATATTATTATCTGTAATCTTGTTTACAGAAAAAGAAAGAAAGTGCTTTCTGGTGCCAAGTCCCAATTCTTATTCATTGGATGGAGTCATTTCGAGCTGTTGTCAAAATATCTCCTTTCAGAAGGCATCCTAACTAAGGCACAGGATCTGATAACACTGTTGAACAGCTTTGCCATACACACTTCTCTGATCTGACAAATGCCAGACATTAAAATATCCCAAGACCAGAAGGAGAATGTATTTGTAGGGTGTATACCACGGTTGCGTGGTGAGATGTAAGGCGAATTATGGTGTTTCTCCTTTTATAGAATGTGTTTATTTTTGTACATTGAAACTGCGTACATGCACGTATGTAACTGTGTGTATGTGTGTTTGCGGTGTATATGAATGTCCATCTGTCTATCGATCTATCCAAGCTCTTCATAACTATAATTTTGCTACTGTTATGTTTTAGGAGGCCCCTATGAAAGGGTCGTTCAATCCCCAAAGGGGTTGTGACCCACAGATTGAGAATCACTGCAACTCCTAAAATCCACACTATCCTCTGCCAAATGCGTGGCAGAAATGAGCTGGTGCTGGGAACCACAGGCATGTAACTACTTTGCTTCTTGAGTCAATTTTCCTTGTCACCAGCACATTTATAAGCTCCTGTGGGAAGGGACCATATTTGGCTATTGTTTTCCTTCCCTAGAGTGGATAACAAAGTAGTCTTAGGCCCCATGCTCAGGCACAGGTGCTCAATAAACATATATTATTGAAATATTATCAATTACCCATTATACATATTGAGGTGGATAGGGAGCAGTTTCTCATCAGTGTCTTAAATTTGAGAATGGCTCATGTATAAAATTATGATTGATAAAATGTGATTGATAAGCAGGAGTAAGGCAAGCAAGGATTCAAAAACACGAAGGTGCCTGCCAGTCATATCTACTAAATGAAACAAAAACGAAACATCCTTTGTCAGCACCACTGACTTGGCTCTTGCTAAGTCCTAAATATGTGGACAAATATGCTCGCAGTTCCGCCAAAACAGCCACCGCTTTTTTATTGTGTCTGGCCTTAGACTCAGCGCTCAGCTGGTCTCTTCCTAGCTCAGGACCTTGGGCCTGTTCTTCCTCCTCTTCTCAGGCATCTGGGGGGGTGAGATGCTGCAGATGCTCCTTTTCAAAGTGGCCCCTTTGTTACGTCTTCGTCTCTGCAAGGCCCGCCTGGTTTGAGTCTTGACCTTGATCTTTCTCCAGCTGTCTTGGACTCAGCCTCCTTTTGGAAATTTCTTGGAGAAACTCATTTCTGTTTGGCTCTCTTTTTTTCAACTCAGCGCTACGCAGAGAGGCAGTAGCCTTTGGCATCCCTCAAGTATGCATTCATGCCGGTATATGCTGGCTGTCATTTCGTGTGTCCTTCATCTGGTGCAAACCCATGAGCGTGTGATGTGAGGGCATGCCTTCGGGGACTTCACCTTGAGCAGCCCTGCAGAGTCCTGGTCTTTTTCAAATGCTCCTGACGGGCTCCCGCGACCCTGTGATTTTTGTATTTCACCAGACTTCTGACATCGTTTATCCAAACTGCTTCCACCTTTGTCTTAAATGCCCTGTGAAGTTGTTGTGTGCTCTCTGTAAACATGTCTTTGCAAGATCTGAAGTCTTGCCTACCCGTCGTCATCAGCTCCCTTATCATTTGATGGGTCACCTTCTAAGCCTAAGAAAGGGACATCTCTTTCTCTCACCCCCTTTCTTTCTTTTTAAATAAATTCCCTTCTGCCAAGTACCTCACGGTCATGCCTTGGTGTCAAGAACCAAAGGCATGTGACTACTTTGCTCCTTGTGCCAATGGCCCGTGGGTTCATTTTCTTATTACCAGCACACGTATGAGCTCTTTATGGGGAGGGGATGTAATTAGTGTTTTTGTTTTGCATCCTGGAATGGATAACAAAGTCTTAGCCACTGCAGGTGCTCAAAAATCATATACTAGTAACATAATGTCTATGACACATGGTGCATGTTGCTGTGGGGAGGGGGAAAGTTCCCACCCAGTGCCTTGGACTGGAGAGGAATGAGCACTCTGCACGGAGCCCTTCCTCGGCCCTGGCTCAGCGCAGGGCACTGGCTCACCTCTGCGACTGCAGTCTCTGCCCCTGTGCCAGCGCAGGTGCCAGGGCCAGCTGGGCACGCTAGTGTAGTTCCTGACGTGAAAACGTGTCTCAGCGGAACAGTCCTATGGCCAGCTACTTTCTGTCCCCTTTGGACTTCAGCAGCTGTCACTCAAACTAATCGCTGTTGTCAGCGTCAATTGCATCTGGATTGGTGGAAATGGTAGACTATAGAGGGGCGATCACTGCCCAACTTGAAAACCAATAGTCACCCATCCTTGCTCTCAGGAAATTGTTTGTTCTCTTTCCTGGCATCCACCTTACCTCTTTCATGTTCCTCAGTTATTTTTACCTCTCCTTAGTGAGCACTGACTCCATCTTTTACACTTTCTTCTTTTTCCAGAAGAACCTGCCATCTCTCTACCCACATGAATCCTTAGTCCTTCCCATATGTAATTATTTAGGAACATTTCTTTCTTCTGGTCCACAGCATATGGATAATGTTTCAAATAGGGGATCTAAAATGTATCAAAAAAAAGAACATCTGACTCTTTCGAGGTTATGTTTCCCCCCCAATAAGGGTCAGCTGTTCACAGTTTCCTGGGGTGTTGAAAAGTCATGCAGAATGTAAGAGTCTGTCTTCTAGTTTGCCGTCTTCGTTTATATGTGCGCCTGTGTTCTTGGGTCAGCACACAGCGAGGTCAATTTTAAAATCCTTTCGTATGAAGGTGCTGTGACGGTGTTTTTAAATGTTAGATACCTAAATGTTTTCTCTTTTAAAGAGACAAGCAAATGGGGGGAGGGGGCTTCTAAGACTGAGAACAATGAGTGAGCTGATAGATGTTTGACAAGTAAGCTATTTTTTCATCCTTTCCCGAGTTGCTGTTTTGGGGGAGAGAAAATGGGATCCAGAAGAAAGCTATTTTTTTAAAAGAGAGAAAAAAAAAGTTAAACAATGTAGATAAAATGAAATGACAGTGAAAGGAAAACAAGTGTCCATGGAAAACACTGGGGGAAAATGCCCCTCCCCATCGTCATTAGGCTGTGAGGTCATGCGGCACCTCTGCTCCTACACATGTGTGATTGTTATAGGATGTCCTTGGTTCTGGCAGGGATGTCCTTGAAAATGCAGCCTTTCAGATTTCTTGTTACCTGGACTGACATATATTTGGGCTGAGATTTTCTGGTAATAACAGGAAATACTAAGCTCCCATTACGGTCCTCAGAGCTGAAGTCAAGTCTGTTGCTGTTTATCTACGAGAAGTCGGTTTGACTTCACGACACCACGAGCGCTGGCCTCCCCAGCCTGTCCCACTTTGCACTCTTCAAGTCATTTAGAAAGTGCCTAGACGATGTGCATGATGTGCACACACGTGACAGGTAGCCTTGGCAAGTATGTGCATGTGTGAACACCTGTGTACACATCACCCAGAGTAAGACACAGAGCAGGGCTCTCCCAGGAGCCTCCCACCTGCCCCCTCAGTGCCGCCACTATTCTGAGTCCTATCACGTTGGTAAATGTTGCCTGATCCTGAATGCAGTGGAGCCGGAATTACACAGTAGCTGCCCTTTGGGACTGGTTTGTTTCACTGAGCAAACATCAGCTGATTAGCTCAGCTCCCATTTGGTAAGTTTGCTCTTTGGTGTTAAATAGCATACAACTTTTTTTCAGTAGGCTGTTGTTTCCTCTGGGTCCGTGTTTCTATTTTCCCTCTCTGTTCTTCTTCTTGTTGTTGCTGACATTCTTCACATTGCTGGTGATCTTTGGTCTTCATGTACATTGTAAAAGGACAAGGCTGATGTCCTGGGCAACCTCATGACCCTGACCTGGATAGGCAGGCTCATGCCAGCCCTGCATATGACCTGTGCACGGAGAGGTTTTCCAATACGTGCCTGGGACGAACTCAGCACGCTGCCTGCTCCATCTCCTGAATGCCAAGAAGGGGGAGACCCTCCTCTGAGACACCAGCCTCATTTTAGGGGTCTTTCTCCTCCCAGGCATTTTGCTCAGATTCCTACAGAATATGCTTGTGACTTTAACTTGGGGGCATGTGGGGTTATGGAAGGACGAAAGGCCTCATGAACAGTTTGCCAATCCACTGCCCCCCATTCTGATCCTGCTCATTCTTTTCTGCCAGTCCCAGAAGTGATTCCACCTTGAAACATGGCCCCCACCTGTCCTGACATCTCATGCATTGATTATACTGTCCAGCGATGATTGGTTTTTTCCCATGGTACCTTGTTGTACCAGGTACTCATTATGCAGACTTGGATGGTGTACTTCAGTTGTTGGGTGTAATGGGAAGTGAACGGACTTTGGAGTCATACTGACCAGGATCATTTCCTGGTTCTCTCACTTACTGGTTTATTTATTTATTTATTTATTTTATTTCTGAACAAGTAGTTTACTCCCTCTGGGCCCCACTTTTTTTTATCTTTTTGGGTGAGATTGCATGTCTGTGGGTTGTTGGAAGAGCTAAGTTCATGCATGTCAAGTGCCTGTCACTGTCCCGGCCACACTGTAGACCTATGGGTTCTCCCCTTTACCTTCCCTCCTCCCCCTTTTCTCTCTTCCCTTCAGCTCCTTATTCCTGGTGGGCTTCCGTTTCCTCTCCTGAAACATTGGGAAGAGACAACTTCCTTCCTCAGAGCCATGATGAGGCTCCAATAATAACTATTCTGTAAACTCTAAAACTCTTCCCAAATAATAGTAATAAAAAAGTGACCCACACCATTATTTCAAAAGGCAAAATGCCACATTTCCCTTGGCCATTGTAAGAGGGTCTCCTGATCAGATCATTCTGCATGACCTTTAAAATCTGTCCCCCCACACACTCCCGCACACGTCTGTGCAGAGGTGCAAGTGGACGGATGCGGTGTGTCCTGCTGTATGCGTGTTTGTGAAATGACAAGGATGCTGAAATGGTGACAAGGCTGGGGATGCTAAACAAACGCTGCGGTAGAGAATGTGCAACGGAACAGAGCTGCAACCGCAGGAAGAGACAGCAGCGCCCTCTCGGGGTGCGCTATGCCCTCATGGCTGCCAGGACCAGGCAGCAAAGCACAGAGCCACGCGAAGATGCCTCGCCCTGGGGCCACCTGCACGATGCATGAGCTTTGGCAGCCCTCCCCGAATGTGGTCCATTGGTTGGCTGCTTCTTAAATTGCCCCGGGATTACCCTGTTATTGGGGCAAACCTGATGGCTCAACAACAGCCAAGTGGTCCCTGGGGTGAAGGTTCGGGCAGCCTGGATTACCACTGCCCAGCTCTTTTCCTGGAGGTTGCTTTTTAAGGACCTAGCAGAGTGGTTCTTCCCGGCGAAGGCGAGACGAGAGGCCCACCTGGACCCAGCTTTGGTTCCATTGCAGGCCAGCCCTTTGTGAATCCCGACGGAAGCCCGGCCATATACAACCCCCCCGGCGGTCAGCAGCCCCGACGGCAGCCGTCCCCGCAGCCGCAGCCGCCGCTGGCGGGCCCCCTGGTCACTCAGGTAAGGAGGGTCGGAAGGCAGAAGAACCAGCCTCAGGAAGAGGGCATCTTCTCCATCGGTCCCCCCTCTACCCACCCCTACGTGCAACCTGGCAGACTCCAGCCCTTGGACACAGTCGACAGGGTTTCATCTGGACCCTTAAGTTTAGGGAGAGATGAGTGTCGCATCCAGTGACCTACCTGGTGAGGGCGTGGAACGAGGCAGAAGGAGCAGTGTTTTTCTTAGTCTAGCTGCTACTTTTGTGTGTCAAGGAGCCTTTCTTGGGAACTGAACTTCTGTTCCCACCCAGGCCTCTGTACCATCTTCCTCACCGTTTCAACACAGACCAGGTGCTCATGTCCGCAAAGGGCCAGTGTTGAACTTTTTAATCAGTGGGGACAGTAGAAAGCAGTTCATTCCCAGGAGGTGTGGCTGTTCACACATGCCTTAGAGAGACACAGAGCTGTCCTCCATGGCCCCGGGGGACACATGGCAGAGGCCACAGAAACCCGAAGGGTTCCAGGTAGGTTGCTCGAGGGAACCTCGTTTTCAATATTTTTTTCTTTACTTAGTCCCTGAAGGTGGTAGATTTCTTTATTGCTTCTTAAAATGCTCTAGGCTGACATTATTGTCTGGCTTAACCGGATGGGTCAAAACTAGCAAAGTCTTTACGTGGGTGAAGGTTCCGGGCAGTGTTCTTACACCCAGAGGATCTAAGGACCAACATGAAAATACAGCAGCACCTCTGAAAGGTGTGTTCAGTCTGAGCAGATGAGCCCCCTTATGCTGGGCTGGCTTTGGTCTACATGGATTTCACTTTCCCTTGGCGGTGGGTTCCCCTCTCTAGTGCGCACTGAGCCTGGAGGGCCTGCAAGGGGAGGTGGGTGGCATGCTTCCGATATGACTGTCTTCCGGTGGGATTTCAACCCCAGTGCTTCCCTGTTGCCTGACCAACTGTTTCTTTCCTCCGCTCTGTCCAGGGGCTGCCAGCTTCCTCCCAGTCAGTGCAATACCCAGCAGTCTCTTTTCCTCCCCAGCATCTCCTGCCTATGTCTCCAACGCAGCAGTTCCCCATGGTACGGATTACGTGTGCATGACTCTTCCTGGGAGAGCATACTCCCTGGTCTGACCACTTCTCTGTGCAGGGCTGGCTGAGCTGGGTGGCTGTGCTGGGCCGACTGTGTGGGTGAATGCCTCATTCCAGAACACTGCCACCATCTTCAAAATCATGTTTCATTTCTGCCACTGTCCCATGCTGAGTGCTCCTTCAATCTGGTACCTCTTTAAGAGCTTGCCAGCTAATAGGAAGTGAATACTTTCAGAATCTGAAGACAGAGGCACATGAACTTGCCGTGAAGGTGTGGGAAATACGTTAAAGTCAGTGTCGAGCTGGTCACGATCATTGCCCTACACTCTTGATAGTTGTTCCTCTCACATCCCAACGCCCCAACTTCAGTTTCCCTTTCCCTTCTCATGCTAGAACCTCTGGAAAACAAGAGTAAACACAGTCCCCAAATCTCAGACCAGGCCAGTGAACAAAGACTCCCTAATAAACAAATGGGGTCCCACCCAACCTGTGGCGAAGCCGGTCCTGGTTCCGTCTTTGCAGCATCCATGGGTGACAGTGACCATGAGTCCTCCCTCCTCTCCCCAGAGACAGACCCTGTGGTTACTGCTGGGAGGACCAGCTGACCCTTCAGGACAGAACACCAAGCCCTCCTTGTCTCAGCACCATCCCGAGGAGCCTGAGCCCTTAATGAAAAAAATAATTTGTTTCTGTTAAAAGAGGGAGATTTGGGTCAGATTGTTGACCATCTCTTGTCCCTCTGGATGAGATCTGCCTTCTCTTGTCCTGTCCTCTTGTTCTAGATGCAGATTCCTTTCTTTCATTTTCCCGACGTGTACTCCCTGCCTGTCCCGTGGCAAGTGCGTGGCCCGCCTGTGTGCCCCTGCCATCACTCAGCGGGTCTTGCTGATTTCCCCTTTGCGTCTATGTCTTGCAGAGAGAAGACGTGGCGACACAGTTCGGCCAGATGAACTTGAGCAGGCAATCCTCAGGAGAGACTCCTGAGCCCCCAGCCGGCCCTGTCTACCCGCCGTCCCTCATGGCGCAACCGAGCCAACAGCCCAGCTACGTCATCGCCTCCACAGGCCAGCAGCTCCCTACAGGAGGATTCTCAGGCTCCGGACCTTCCATCTCCCAACAAGTCCTCCAGGCCCCGCCCTCGCCGCAGGGATTTGTGCAACAGCCTCCACCTGCACAGGTAGCACGCTTGTTCTGACGCCTGTGACCTGTAGCTGATTTGGGGTGCACTTGGACCTCTATATTTCCATAGAGGATCACCGGTTCCACATGCCTTGCCCTTCTGGTCCAGATATATATTCCCCACCTGCAGATTTATATTCCCCACCTGCTAATTTATATTCCCCACCTGCCCTTCTGGTCCAGATTTATATTCCCACCTGCAGAACCTGATCTGTCCAGTGCAAAGCCTTGGGGCTCATAGAGTAAGTTTAATGAAACTGACCCTAATGTCCATGATACGAGGGGGAGACATCCCATCTCCCAGACTGCTGGTCCAGTGGCCACGTGAAACCAGTCCCTTCCATGTGGTGTCCTGCTCACTGGCTTGCCAAGGAAGAGAGAGTCTCGGGAAGAAGAAAGCCTGTTCCTGGGGGACACTCAACACTCTCGCTGCTGCTCTGGAAATTCGTTCTTTCCTTTCTTATCAATTCGTAGCATGTTCTGGAGCTAGCCTGGGGTCCAGGCAGGACTCCTCTGTAACAGAAAGGGGGAGGCGAAGCCCACATCCAGTGTCCTTCCCTTTCCCCCAGGGGGTGCCCAGCTCACGGGTGCTCTCACAAGTAGCCATTAATCATATTTAATTGACTCGTGCATGTAAGACATCGCAGATCACTGATTTTTACTGTCTTCTCAAAGACTGATTATGTGTGACTGTTCACCACCAAACCATCTCTGGTGTTCTCCTGGGTGTCCCTTGCAGAATATTGCAAGTGATTACTGTCAAGATGTAAAATGCAGAGAGGCGTTTTCTGGTCCATTTTCCAGGCACACAGAACCCAAGCAAATTCCATCCTAATTATAAAATATTGTATTGGATGAACTGCTTCAAGTACAGCATCACCTTCTTATCATTTGTTACGTTTCACTGCCTTAACATTTTGAATAAATTATTTTCTTTTCAAGCCATGCAAAACCCTCCACCATAAAGTAATTCTCACTCAGTTGTTCATTTCATTTTGAGTGATTAATTAATAGTTCATCTTCAGTTGCCTTCTCAGGGATATCTTTTTTGCTAATAGGATTTAGGGAGATGTGAAAAATAATGTGAAGTTATAGGAGAAAGGGCCTCATTAATATATTAATTATTTTTCTAATACATTAAATACTTTAAGCATAATTGTTAGGAAAAAATTATTTAGTAGATAATACTATTTTAATGTAAAATAGCATATAACTGTTCTAACCCATTTCTGCTGTCAGAGAGAAGGCAGAGTATTTAATTGAAGACTTTAAAAAGTATTTTAAAATATGTTTTTATTGATTTTTTTAGAGAGAGAGGGAGGGAGAGAAATGGAAACATCAACGGGAGAGAAACATCGATCAGCTTGCCTCCTGCACGGCCCCGCTCTGGGGATGGAGCCCGAAACCTGGGCATGTGCCCCAACCGGAATCAAACTGGGACCTCTCGGTCCATGGGAGACACTCAATCCACTGAGCCACACTGGCCGGGCTAATTGAAGACTTTTTAAAAAGCCCTTCCTTGATGAAGGGATTTCAGTATTAGTGGACGACTAGAGCAAAGACACCTCAGATCCCCTCGTGTCTGCCACAGAAATGGTTTCACTCTCCCTTAGATAGGTTAAAAAGAGAAAGAGGTAGGAGAAAACAAAACAAAACAGGTGTTCATTATTCACGGTCAGTTCAGACATCCATGAATTTCTTTCCTTCCTTTTTTTTTTCATCCTCACCCGAGGACATTTTTCCATTTTTTGTTCAGATAGAGCAGGAGGGAGAGAGAGAGAGAGAGAAACATCAATGTGAAAGGGACACCTCAAGTGGCTGCCTCCCACACAATCCAACCAGGGCCGGGGACAAACTGCAACCGAGGTATGTGCCCGTAGCAGGAACTGAACCCAGGTCTCTCTGGACCACAGGCCGACGCTCTAACCAGTTAGCAAACCGGCTAGGGCTTCTTTCTTAGAACAAAGATTAAAGTATGGACTATAGCCCAGAGTGATTTTATCTGTTTTATTTTTTAATGTATCTTTATTGTTGAAAGTATTATAGACGATCTCTTTTTTCCCCGTTGACCCCATCCACCCACTCCTGCCCGCCCGGCCTTCAGCACACTACTGTCTGTGCCCATGGGTTATGCATATATGCATGTAAGTTCTTTAGTTAATCTCTTCCCACCACCACCCCCTCTGAGATTTTAAATGATTTTAGTAAACATTTTAAAACTTGATTACTCGACTATGAAACAATGAAAAGAACTCTTGAGACACAGTCTGTGGGCAGACACAGAAACATGTTAAACTGAGAATAAACTAGTTCATACCCTTGAAGGTCAGTTTTGTCTGACTTGTCACACATGCTTGTCTCATTAAAAAAGTGCCCAGCTGGTGTGGCTCAGTGGTTGAGCGTTGACCCATGCACCAAGAGGTCGCCAGTTTGATTCCCGGTCAGGGCACATGCCCAGGCTGTGGGTCTGATCCCCAGTGGGGGGGCCATGCAGGAGGTGGCCAATCGATGTTCTCTGTCACTGATGTTTCTCTCTCCCTCTCCCTTCCTCTCTCTCTAAAGTCAATAAATAAAATAAAATAAAGTACCCACAACATTCAGTGCTTTAAAACAACAACCACTGTATTGCTCCTGTCAGCAATTTGAACAGGTCTCAGCAGAAATGGCTCTTTTCTGCTCCACGTGGTATTTATTGGCTGGGGCAACTCGACTGGGCTGGGACATCCCCGGTGGCCTCCTCCCATGCCTCGAACTCTGCTGCAGCCTGTTAGCTGGGCTGCCCCTATTCTCCACATGGTCCTCTTCTCCGGCCGGGTAGCCTGGGCCTCCTGTCCTGGTGGCGGGGCTCTCCTCCCACAGAAGTGGAAGCCGCAAGTCTTATTTTTATTTTATTTTATTTTTTTTATCCTCACCCGAGGACATTTTTCCATTTTTTGTTCAGATAGAGTGGGAGGGAGAGAGAAGAAGAGAGAGAGAAACATCGATGTAAAAGGGACACATCGAGTGGCTGCCACCCGCACCCCCCAACCAGGGCTGGGGAAAAACTGCAACCGAGGTACATGCCCTTAGCGGGAACCGAACCCGGGTCTCTCTGGACCGCAGACCGACGCTCTAACCACTGAGCCAAACCGGCCTGGGCGGAGCCGCAAGTCTTTTTAAGGAACCGACTTACAGGTCTCCAAAGTCATCACTTCTGCCTCATGGCATCGGTCAAAGCCAGCTACAGAGGCAGCTCAGATTCAAAGAAGTGGGAAATGGATTTCCCCTCTTCATGGGGGGAGTAGCATGTCTACCCACAGAGGCCCGGGGGAAGATTTTGGCACCTGTGTTTATAATCCACTACAGTAACACTATGTCGTAAGACGACAGTATATGTTATGTTTAAAACAATGTAACTTAATGCACAGTTGTCATTCCCTGCTGTTTTTCCCTTTCTTCCACAGATGCCCATATATTATTACCCATCTGGTCAGTACCCTACCTCAACCGCGCAGCAGTACCGGCCCATGGCCTCTGTTCAGTACAGTGCTCAGAGGGGTCAGCAGATGCCGCAGACGGCACAGCCAGCAGGTACTTGGACTCTGTCTCCCATTTCCTCCTCTAACCCAGTCTTTCTGCACAAAATCTCTCAGCTGTCCTCTCTGGATGAGTATTCAAGCGTGGCAATTTAAATCAGCTCATTTCCCTAACCCAGGGAAGATAATAGAGCATTTGATTAAGTCCGTGCGGAAAAGGAACAGGTACCAGAAGGTGAAGCCCCCATCAGTCCAGCATCCCAAGCATGCATGCTCAACACAGTCTTCGTGAATCCTTTTTGGATCCTCTTGGTTTATTTTGAAGCAGAGAGCCATTCACACCCCTATCTTCCTAGTTTATACCTTTTTTTCTTTTTTTTCTATTTCAACTTCAAGACAATTCTTCCCCTGTTCCTAAGGTGAGGGGACCCCAGTAGGTTGTTTCTATACCATCCTGAAAGTCCTGTCTAATTTAGAATAAGGCCACTGACCTTGCAGCCTGTGTCCTGCTGGAACTCTGACTCCATGCTCACTGCCGAGGACTACCCGCCTCGGTCCCGGACTCGGCAGCCGCTGTGCAGTGGGAAGGGGGGCCGATGCACTGTACGAGAGTGAGTAGCAGGTCTCACAGTGAACCGGTCTCTTTCCCTACTGTGTCACACTCCTAATGGGATGCCGTACCCAGAGAGCAGCAGCCACCCAGCAGGGCTGAGTGACTTGTGCTAGGGAGAGATTTCAGTCCTTCCTGCCAATCACACTGCAGGGCAACTGCTAATTGTCATGCTGAAGACCGCCGGACTGGGGACCCTGCCTTCCTTCCGTAAGTAGGTCCTGTTAGAGCACGTGCCCCCCACGGCTGCTCCTCCAAGCCTACTCCGTTGTCTGTCATCTGATTTCTGCACCAAGTGCGTGTATATGTGTATAGAACATCTACAGATACATGCGTGTAATGGGATCAGAAGATGTACCATTTTTATAAGCTGTGACAAAAAGCGCAATCCTGGCCAACGGTTCATACCAATTACAGCCACCCTAAGCATACCAGTGTGGGCACAGCTAGCACTTTGTCAGATTGGAGCAGTAATTAAATTCCTCTGTATTGTGGAGAGCTATGTGTTCTTTAGATCACTTCATGGCCATTTAAAGGTTGTGGGAGAACAATTAGAGAAGTATACAGCATCCGACCAGACTTTGTCTCGTTTTAACCTTGTATTAATTTGGGAAAGATTGTATTTTGACCTCTGAATTGACTTGACACGTTTTCAGTAATAAGAACACACCAAAAAAGGCTTCCAATGATTAGTTACTTTAAAAAGAGCATTTGGTAATATTTTCGCTGATTGTTGGAAAAAGTGATCACCTCTGTCATTTGGTTTTGATCGTGCTATCGTTTAGATATATACTGTGGTGGTGCGTTGCTTGCCTTCTGCACTGTCTTATTTTCCCTTGCTCATGTGTATCAGAGAATTAGCTTATTGCTCATCTTCTAGCTATTGGTCCGAAGGCCATAGTGATGTTTTCCTTTTGGTTCCCAGTGCCTTTAGGAGAAGCAAGATGCAGAGAGCTAATTACACGAATATTTCAGATTTAGAGTAGTGCCCTTGTATGACAGTTTTCTAAACAGATCTTTCTGTCTCGTGTTCAGTATAGTCCGTGTATAGGACTGTGGTTACAGATGTTCTGGAATCCGCTAAACCTGCGAACTCTGTGTCTACGCGAGGGACTGAGAAGGTTGGATGACTGTGTTAATTGGGCAAGAGTTAGATTTAGGAAGCAGCCTCAGGTTTCCCACAGACTTCACTTAGGAGTGTCCATGCAAGGGAGAATACGTGTGACAGTTTTTACTTTTTTTTTTTTTTTAAGAGTGGGAGCATTTAGAGATGCAAAAACCACCTCCCCAACTCAGAGAGCCCTAACAGGTCTCAGCTAGGATCCGTGGCAGCCTGGTGGCTTTCACTGGTCCCACGCTCCCACCGCACCATGGAAATACCAGCCTCCAGGCGAGATAATGACTCTGCAATTAGAAGGATGCATTCTAAGGCAGCGTCATGCTCCAAGGAGAAGCAAGGGCGGCAGGTGTTAAGGAAGCGAGTGACAATGAGTGTGGGCTTGGGGGGAGGGGTGCTGGGGAGATGAGGAAAGAGAAATGATTCAGGAATAGTATTTTCTCTGGAGATGAAACATACCTATACACATGTGGGCTGAGACTTTTGAGCCTCTAGTTATGACCATCACAAGTGATAGCAGACCTAAAATCCAATGCAGTTTCCACCACCGTCTTGAATTTACTGAATGTTTGGGAAGGCAGAGGATGTCCCCTCACCTCACTGAGAATCACCTCTGCTAATAAAATTCAGGGGACCCAGCGCATGCAATGTCTTGTGACAATGCATGGAGGCTCCTGGTCCTACAGCTGGTGGGCCTTTTGCTGAGTTCAGTGACACTCTGAGAGACTTTCCAAAGGGACAGTGCAGAATCATTTAGGGGAGCAACTCTCTGTCAATGGACAGGCACATAGAGAAAAAAGCCCCTCTGGATAACTATAACAGCTGCATTTCAGGAAGGAGCTTGAAGACGGGCCCTCTCTATCTTTAGGTTGACCTTGGCCTGGCACACCCCACAGTGCTGCCCTGCCTCGCCCGTCCTCCTGTCTCCCACAGTTTGTGTCCTGCATCTGACCCCCTTCCATCTTCCGCTGGTGCTGACACCAGATTGTATCATGGAAATTCAGCTGTCATGTGGTCAGGCATTAGAATGGGACAAGACTATGTCAGCCGACGCCAAATGAGATTTGAATCCCGATTTGCTTCTTGGCACTGTTCTTAATCTTTATTTCATTGCAGTTGAAAATGTTTCTTTCTTCTCCTATGCTCTTGGAAGAACTGAAATCACTGTAAGTTACTACCTCCTTCCAAAGCCTTAACAGTATGCACAATGGATTTTAGAAAGTGAATTGGGTAGTCCATATTGATAAAGGGGACACTTGAGTTACAGTGGGGGGCCATAAGGTGAGCTTGTACTCTTTACCTACCGACGGGTGATAAAGGTACTAGGCTTGTGCCACGAGACACTTATACTGGTGATGATCGACCATTAACATTCAAAAGTTTTGGAGAAATTAAATGGTAAACTTGCATAGTGGTATTTGAATTTTGTAGCTACCTACGTGAGGAACGTTAAAACCTCTAATATAGAAATGTCTCTAATGGAAACAATGGCTTTTCGTCAACTGGGCATTACCAGGTACCCCAACAGTGGGTGCGGTGGCAGTTCTCTCTCTGAGGCAATTGTTGAGTTGTTGGTAACCCATGACTGCATAGAAAGGCCGTTCAGTTATAGCTGAAAAACAAAAAACTATGGTTTTCAAATCATTTTGGCTTTGAAAGACCTGGACTAGAGTGTGCCTCACTTGAGAACAGGTTTTTCTCAGTGCTCAGATATTGAAATGAAGTGCTGAGGAACACACCCGTCAGTCTTTAATGTTTAGCTTTACTTTGGTATTCAGTTATCCTACCACTGTTTAGTTAACACCTATGTTGCTATGGTTTGACTTTTTTTTTTTTGAGGATGTTTATTAAAGCTGGGGACAGGGAAACAAGGAAGAGCCCTGGATAGAAGGAGCCACAGGAGAGGGACGAGTTGGGAAAATAAGCGTAGGCTGGGCTGCTTTGGCTCACGGAGGAGGAGTGAGCGAAAAGGGGGCTTGGGGGACAGGAACAGGGGGTTAGCCTGGGATGAGCTGCTGCCGCCCATTGGTTCTACTCTGGATCAATAATATCTTTAGGGCCAAAAAATGTTAGAAATAGTAATAGCCACCATGAAATCAGGATCTCTTATGGGCTAGTTGCTATGCTGAGTGTTTGCCGACATTGCAATGTTTAATCCCCGGCGCAGATTTGCAAGGGACATAGTAGCGCTCCTGTTTTGTAGCCGGGGCGCTGTTGCTTAGGGAGCCGAATGACGTTTCTCCGGGTCCCAAGGTTGATGGAGTTGGGAGGAGCACCCAGGTGTCAGTGGTTTTAAGCCTGAGCACAAGCACAGTTGCTGGTTTTTCTTCATCAGCTGGCATGGATGATCACTTAGAAATTGCATGTTGGAACTAAATAAGCATGCCCATGTTCCAGAAGCAGATGACAATCGATCATTCAAATGCACAAGTTGGCTTAACTAGCAGAACACATCAGAAACCCTGAACGTTTGCTTCCCGAGGCACACGGGCTTCCGCATGACTTTCCAGAGCTGGAAATAGCAGCTGGCAGAGAGCAGCTGAAACATTCAGGCCCAAATCAAACGTTGGAAAGTGGAGGGAGGGGAGAATTCCTCTTAGCCAGTGTACCCAACTCCGAAGTCCCTTTTCAGTTTGACTTGAAAGGAAATGTATGTAGCTTCATTCTTGGCTTTCCAAAATCTTGGACATGTCCTAAAGGCAACCAAAATGTACTTCTGAAGTCCTATATCTGTTTATATATGGGCGTTGGAGGATGAATAAGTCATGGTTTGGTATCAGAATAATGCTGGCCTCAGAAAATGAATTGGGAAGTGTTTCTCTTCTATGTTTTGAAAGCAATTGTGGAAATTGGTGATATATATATATTTTTAATTGTTGATAGAATATTCCAGTGAAACCATCTGGGCCTGGTGATTTTTATAAACAGTATTGTTTACTTTTTACTTGATGATAACTTCCAGAATTTAATTAACTACTATGATAGGACTACTAAAATTTTCTGTGTCATGCTTGCTCATTCGGGTAGTTTGTGCTCACTGAAGAATTGCCCATTTCTTCTGAGTTGTGGAATTCATGAGTGGCAACTTGTTAGTAGTTGTTTGTTTTCCTTTTAATGGCTGCAGGATATATTGTGATATCCTGTTTCATTCTTGATACTGATGATTTTTAAGTTCTCTCCTTTTATTTGTGTCAGTCTTGCTAGCTTGATCAATTTTATTGATCTTTGCAAAGAACTAGCTGATTGTTTCACTGGTTGTTTCTATTGTTTAACTGTTTCCATTTTGTTGACTTCTGCATTTATCTTTATTATTTTCTTCCTTCTGCTC